TCAGGGCTTATTGATATCTTAAATATTGAGTCTTCTGAACCATGAACATGGGATTTTTTTCCCATTTATTTAGATCTTCATTTCTTTCAACAGTGCTTTATAGCTTAAGTTTTGTACTTTTGTTTTTATTCCTAAATGCTTTATTCTTTTTGATACTATTGTAAATGTTATCCTAATTTTAGTTTTTAGTTTGTGTGTTTGTTTTTTTTTTGGTACACGCCCCTAGCGGAAACCGAACCCGGGACTCTCTGGTCTGCAGGCCGACGCTCCAACCGCTGAGCCAAACTGGCCAGGGCTTAATTTCATTTTTTAGTTGTTTGTTACAAGTATATAGAAGTACAAATGACCTTTTTAAATTTTATTTATTATTTTATTCTGAGGATATGTTTATTGATTTTTTTTTTCATGGAGAGAGAGAGGTGAGAGAGACATCGATAGGTTGTCTCCCATACATGCCCCTACCTATTGGTGTACAGGAGAACAGGCCAATAAATTTAGCCACCTGGCTAGGGCACAAATGATTTTTGTATATTGATCTTGTGTCCTGCAACCTTACTGAACTCATTTATTAGTTTTAATAGTTTTTAGATGGAATCCTTAGAATTATCTATATATGAGATGATGTTGTCTATGAATAGAGATCGTTTTAATTTTCCCCTTCCAAACTGGATGCCTTTTTTTTTTCTTGCCTTATTACCCTGGTTAGAACCTCCAGTACAATGTTGAATAGAAATGATGAAAGAGAACATCTTTGTCTTGTCCATTACCTTAGGGAGAAGGCATTTAGTCTTTCACTATTAAGTATGATGTTAGCTGTGGGTTTTTCATAGACAGAGGCCCTTTGAGGAAGCTCCCTTCAATTCCTGGTTTGTTTAGTGTTTTTTATCATGAAGGGGTGTTGGATTTTGTCAAATGTTTTTTTTCTGCATTGTCTTAGTCTGTTTGGGTTACTGTAACAAAATACTACAGACTGGATAGTTTATAAACAATATAAATTTCATTTTTCACAGTTCTGGAGGCTGGAAGTCTGAGATCATGGTGCCAGCAGATTCTTTGTGGTGGCTGGTGAGGGCTCTCTTCCTGGTTCATTTCAGGTGCCTTCTCACTGTGTCCTTAGTAAGGCCTCTTATGAAGTCACTAATTCCTAATTCCATTCACAAGGACTCCATCCTCATGACCTAAGTACCTCCCACAGGACCCATTTCTTAATACCGTCACCTTTGGAGGTTAGGATTTCGATATATGAATTTTGGGGGTACACAAACATTCAGACCACAGCATGCATTTATTGAGATGATCATTTGTTTTTTTAATTTTATTTTATTCTATTGATATGGTGTATTACATTAATTGATTATCAGATGTTAAACCACCTTTGCATATATGGGATAAATCTCATCTGGATACCCCCTTTCATATGTTGCTGAATATGTGTTGTTAATATATTATTTTTGCACCTATATTCATAAGAGATAATGGCCTGCAGTTCTCTTTTTTCCTTAATATTTTTATTGATTTTTAGACAGAGAGGAAGGGAGAGGGAGAAAAACATGGTCCTGCATGTCCCCTAAGGGATCAAGCCTGAAACCTGGGCCTGTGCCCTAACGGGCAACCTTTTGGTACACAGAACATGCCAAACCTGAGCCACACCAGCCAGGGCTGGTTTTCTTTCATTTTTCTTTTTTTTTTAATCCTCACCTGAGGACATTTTTGCATTTATCTTCAGATAGAACAGGAGGTGGGGGGGGGGGGAGAACACATTGATGTGAGAGAGACACATCAACTGGCTGCCACCCACACGACCCCAACGGGGCCAGAGACGAACTACAACCCAGGTACGTGCCCTTAGCGGGAACTGAACCCGGGACTCTCTGGTCCGCGAGCTGACACTCTAACCGCTGAGCCAAACTGGCCAGGGCTCATTTTTCTTTTTAAATTTCATTTATTTATTTGGTTAATCCTCACCTGAGAATATTTTTCCATTGAATTTTTTAGACAGAGTGGAAGGGAGGGGTTGTGGGGAGAGAGAAACATCAATGTGAGAGACACATTGACTGGTTGCCTCTCATATGACCCCAGGGGGGCAGGGATCAAACCTGCAATCCAGGTAGGTATGTGCCCTTGACCAGGAATCAAACCTATGGCCCTTTGGTCCAAGGGCTGACACTCTAAATGCTGAGCCAAAATTGACCAGGGCTCATTTTCTTTTTTTATAATGTGCTTTTCATCAGGATAATGCTGGGCTCATAAAATGATTGGGAAGTTTTCCTCCTCCTTCTTTTTTTTTTGAAGACTGAAGCATTGGTATTAATTCTTTGAATGTTTGGTAGAATTTACCAGTGAAACCATCTGGTCCTGAGTTTTTTTTCCCTGGGAAGTTTTAAAATTACTGGTTCAGCCCTGGCCAGTTTGGCTCAGCGCTTAGAGCGTCGGCCTGCGGTCCAGAGAGACCTGGGTTCGGTTCCCGCATGTACTTCGGTTGCGGTTTGTCCCCGGCCCTGGTTGGTCGTGCGGGTGGCAGCTACTTGATGTGTCCCTTTCACATCGATGTTTCTCTCTCTCTCGTCCTCTCTCTCCCTCACACTCTATCTGAATAAAAAATGGAAAAATGTCCTCGGGTGAGGATTAAAAAAAATAAATAAAAATAAAATTACTGGTTCATGTCTTTGTTATAAATTTATTCAGATTTTCTGAAGTCAGTTTTGCTACTTTGTTTTTGTCTAGGAATATGTGCATTTTATCTATGTTCTGTACTTTGTTGACATACAGTTGTTCATAGTTTGCCTTTATAATACTTTTTATTTCTGTAGAGTTGATAGTAATAACCTCTCTTTCATTCCTTATTTGGTAACTTGAGTCTTCTCTCAGTCTACTGAAAGTTGGTCAGTTTTATTGAAATTTTCCAAGAACCAACTTTTGGTTTTACTGATTTTTCTCTATTGCTTTTCTATTTTTTGTTTCACAAATTTCCACTCCAATCTTGATTCATCCATTGTTTTTAATCACATTGTCACCATAACATACTATAACATTCTTGCTCCCTTCTTTGAAATGAGTTAGAGGCACAGGAGCCTCTGAAAAGCTATAATGAGCCATGCAAAGTGTGCGGCTACCTGTGGCTCATACGTATAGTTTTCCCTGTGGTCCAAAATCACAGGGAAAAAGTCAACAACTTAATGTAGTTGTCTTTGATTTTGTACATTGTATCTAATGCTTGCCCTGGAGCTTGAGGGTAAATCCTTAGCTTTAGATGTTAGTTTTGTTGTGGGTTGTGAACTCCAGTAAGTAGTTTCTTCTTTTGTGTGATAAATATTGTTAAGCATCTCTTGTTTAGCGGCTCTCGTTTAGTGTGGTTAATCAGTTCCAGACTCTACCACGATAAATGAATTTCCGCAAAGTAGGATTCTTTATTTATACATTTTATAGTATAGTATTAGGAACAAAACACCATAGAGTGAAGCCGCGAAAGTCGAAGCATGAAGTAGTGAGGGACGACTGTATATGAGGCAAGGTGCTAAACCTGAACTTGTTAGGTAAGAAAAGTTTATATTACAGACATGTAAGAAGATAAATTTGTTAATTATTTCTTTTTTATTAACTTTAACTTCATGGTTTTTAACCTTTTTTTTTTTTTTTTTAAAGAACAACGATTTAATGCAAATTAGAGATTAGGGTGGCAGAAGCTAGGAAATATAAGACCTGGTCCTACCCTTTGGCATTCTTGATGTCTTGGTGACATAGACAAGCCATACCCTTGGGAAAAGTCAGGGAATCCTGGGAGGTGGGTGGACTCTGTTTGAAGAGAAGTGTTGGTATTTCAAGCCTGAGAGAACTTTGAGGCCTGAGACTGGCCCAGGAGGACGTATGTTCACTTAGCAGAATGTCTTCAACCACTTCTGTTATTCCTCAGTAACAGTTCCTGTCTTCACTGCACAATAGCCATAACACTTACCAAAACAGGGAGGTTCAATAACTGTGGGACAGTAGTTTACCCCTAGTGCTGCTTACCTTCCTTCCCTGTGGCTAATAAGTGGAACATTCTGGAGATCTTTGGAGGCTGCAGTTGATGCATGCATGCACAACTAGCATCTTGAATGAAAACAACGTACATTTTCTACGAAGTGTTATGGCACTTAAAGTTTTTATATTCCAAAAGTCCCATAGCAGTTTACTGTGTCCTTGGAAGAAAGTTCAGAGCCATCTTTGGAAGGCAGGGTCCAGCCATTCCAACTGAGCTCACACCAAAGAAACAGACACTTGGCTCTGGAGACCCAATGCAGGTGCCGGAAGGAGGGTATGGCTAGCACCTGGAAGAAAACCCTTGAGGAGGAATGGACTGATGGGTGTGTGTGTGTGTGTGTGTGTGTGTGTGTGTGTGTGTTTACATTACCTATAAATATGTCCACATACACACCTGGCAGATCATGCACATTGCCTGTAGGATCCACGGATGTGACTACTTCAGGCCACTTGAAACTCAGTACACAATAACGAGAATGGTGTTTTGGTGGGAATCTAGCTAGAGAATATAATTTTATTCTGACTCAAATTCTCTTCTGTACTTTCAGTTTTGATTAAAGGCCTACACTTCCTGTTCTACACTTAAATGCTGATATGTGCTTAAGAAATCCCCTACATTTCAGGTCATAGGGTGGTTGTGTTTTATGAAAGACTTATTTAGACTTAATTTGAATGTGGTTCAGAGCTTAAGTTTGTACTTGATGATCTGATAAGTAAATGATGACCAGCATTTATTTATTGGGCACTTAACTCTATAGAAAGAACTCAGTAACTATCATCTTTATTTTTAGCCCCTAAATTTATATTTTAACTGTGTGCACATGCAAGCATTCATTGTTGCACATATTGCTGTAATTAATGTGTAAATATGGTTTTATGTTTTTATACTTATATAAATAGTGCCACATTTTTGTATAATATCGCATTGCCACATTTTTGTATGATATCCAATTTCATAAATACCAGTGTTTACTTTACAGAATGTGGAGGCTCAGGATCCACGAGGTCGAACCTTATTGCATCTTGCTGTTTCTTTGGGACATTTGGAATCTGCTAGAGTCTTGCTCCGACATAAAGCAGATGTTACAAAAGAAAATCGCGAGGGATGGACAGGCAAGTATGCTTTTTAAAATCTTTTACAGTATGTCCTGGCCTGTTTGCTTCAGCAGTTAGAGCGTCAGCCCGTGAACCAAAGAGATGCAGGTTCGATTCCTGTCAAGGGCACATACCATGGCTGTAGTTTGATCCCCGGCCCTGGCTGGGATGCTGCAGGAGGCAACCAATTGATGTGTCTCTCTCTCATCAATGTTTTGTTTTTTTCTCTCTCTCTCCCTCCTTCCCATTCTGTCTGAAAATCAATGGAAAAATATCCTCGGGTGAGGATTAAAAATAAATAAATAAATAAATAAATAAATAAATAAATAAAATCTTTTAAAGCCTTTCATTTCAGTTTCTCTTTCTGAATAAAGGCCAGTCTCGGTCATCATTGTTCTGAGTCATCTTTATCTTAAGACTCTTTCTCTTTTCCGACTAGGGGCTGGGGCAAGGAGGTGGGAGCCTCGGATGCTGCTGGCTTATCTGTAGCACAGTGTCCTGAATTGTGTCCTGGGCCCAAAGCCCTGGGTAGAGGGCGACTTCTTATCTAGAAGGCAGCTCTCAGGGCAGACCCTTTCCACCATACACAAGTGTGAAGTCCAGATTTTCCCCAAGGAATGTGATGGTAACTACAGTGAATCCATCAGGACAGGCAAAATCAAAAAGAATTTATATCTACAAGTGGCCTTTTCCAGTGAAATCCTGGTATTTTATATTTCTTTGCAAATTCTCTTACTATTGGTCAGAGTAATTTTATGTTGACTGAGCCAGGATATGTATAAGCACAGCCCTGCCTGCCTGATCTACATGTAACCACAGTTGTGTGATCATATAAGTAAAGCGAGCTCTCTGAAGACATTGTCAGGATTTCATGACCAGTGGTAGGAAAAGAGGATGAGGGAAGGATGGATTTGACCAAGGAGCATGAGGGTTTGACCAAGAGACTAAGAGTGCTTTGTTTTCTTCTCTTTTGTCCAATTAAGAGCTAGCAATAAGAAGTCATGGGCATAAATGAGAACATAGGACTGCAGCCTCTCTCCCTCCAGGAAGGAGATGTTGCATTTTGATCTATATAGATATTTTTCAGACTGGCTTTGGAATTTGTCAGAAAGTGTGAGAATACTTGTTGATTAAATTTCACCTTTTTGTTTTCCAGTTTTACATGAGGCTGTGAGCACCGGTGACCCTGAGATGGTGCACACAGTTCTTCAGCATCGAGACTACCACAACACATCCATGGCCCTTGAGGGAGTTCCTGAACTGCTCCAGAAAATTCTTGAGGTATTCGTAAAAATATGGCATTGCCATCATTTGAGTTAAATGCTGATATGATCGCTGGAGACACAGAGCCACAGCTGTGTGCCTTCCTGAAGAGTTTTATGAATCGAGAATACGATGTATTGAGTACTAAATAGCATTATTTCTTGCCTTTCCAGCTTGTTAAATGTATGACGTCTTCCACATATTATGTTTCTAGGTCACTAGACTTACCCCTTTTTTTTTTAATCCTTACTTGAGGATATTTTTTCATTTATCTTTATCTTCAAGTAGAGTGAGAGGGAGAGAGAGAGAGAGAGAAACAGTGACGTGAGAGGGACACATCGACTGGTGGCCTCCCACATGACCCCAACCAGGGCCAGGGATGAACTGCAACTGAGGTACGTGCCCTTGCCTGGAATCGGACCCGCGACTCTTCAGTCCGTGGGCTGACGCTCTCACTGCTGAGCCAAACCGGCCAGGGCACTAGACTTACCCTTTTAAGTGCTATTTAAAAATTAGAACTAAGACAAATGGACATCAAACAATTAATTTGTCTAGGTGCCTGATTTCTAAAAAGTAGCATCCCGACCATAGGTCATCTTGGGGAGATTGTGTTGGGCATCAGTGACTGGATAGCGATTGTCAGGGTTTGTTGAGGTTTAGAGGTCTGTGTGCAACTTATTGTCACTCCTGTCACTTATAGCTGTTAGTAGTCTGTGACTTCTGATCCATTGTACAGTTTTTGGCTTTTGGAAAGTTTACCTGTCTTGTGAATTAAAGTGTATGGGCTCTGTGACACTCAGAGACATTTCTTAAAGCATTTTACTTCTAGACTCCTGGATTGTTTTGGATGATGGTTGCCATTCTTCAGATAATCTTTATAACCTGCAAAAACCATCTTATCAGTCAACCATGTGCAATATTCCAGGGCAGCAGGAGATGAGAAAGTACCAGTGGTTCAATTTTCATGGCAATTTATACTCAATTTAAACACAGAAAAAGTAAGCTCCTCAAAATATTTCCAAAGATAGTTGTTGATAAATAAGCTTTACATTGTTAGTTAAAACACATTTCTTGAGAAAAATGAACAGTTCTATCGAGAAAAGGAACAATTTTTCTCAAGTTAGACAATCATTGCTCATTATCTGAGCACTCTTTCAAAAAATATTTCTGACATGCAAAGCAAATCCTACCTAAGATATTAATTGTCCGTGTACTGCAGAGAAACCTCCCATGACATATGAAATAGTTTTATGCATTGTTTTTATATTTTATTCAATGTAAAGGATTTTTTTCTTTTTCTTTTTTCACCTGTATTGATCCACAACAGTGACCTGCACTGCATTGTATTTTCTGCTTGAATTTATAGACTGCCCATAATTGACCTGTGTGCTCATTGGCACCAGCGGCTGTTGTTGATGTTTTGTGTCATAACATGCTTACCTTTCTTACCCGCTGACCTTGGAGAGTGTCATTGCCCATCACCAGAATCCTGGCTGGTTTTAAACCAGGGTAGATTCTTGGTCTTTCTGCCTTGTGCTTCTGTAAAAACCACAGCAAAACCTTGGAGGTAGGAGGGAACAGGAAAACACCTGCAATTTCTAGCATTTCTCTTGGATGGTAACTGTTGAAATTAAGTAGGATGGCACTAAAGAAATTAAGTAGCTCCCAAGAACCTTCTATAAGAATTCATGGTAGGTCAGAAAATCATCTTAAACGGGGCTGCCATGGTGGTGTAAAACTTCAAAAAGCCAAATTCTAACAGTTTAAGAGGAAATTGGGGGCAAAAGTCTTTTGAAATATCAGCTTCTTGGGGAAGTGATGTCTAGCTGCCTCTTTTTGGTTTCAGAGAGTGTCTGATAAATGTGAAACACTTTTCCAGAACACAAAGCCTTTTACAGTCAAGTTCCTAGTCTGATAGATGGAATTTACATTTCTTTCTCTTCGCTTAGAACAGCCTGTTATGCACATTGCCTGGCAGTACTTAAGCCCTCCTCCTGGGCTCCTCTTTCTGTTACTGTTGTGAACCTGATTGAGCCCCTAAATCAGATTTGACTTTTATCCCCCTCCAACCTTATTGCTTTCGGTTAACTTTATTAACTGTCTAGACATTTTATATCAAGAACAAATCACAGACTGAATATAAAATAAGCATTTATTTTGATGGGTTTGCAATTTGTGTTTCTTATTTTCTCTGTTCTCTCCCCTTTCCCCACTTAAAAAAACCCTATTAACTCTTACTATGTTTGTGTTTAGTTAATAGTACCAAGGGTAATTTCTTTTAAACCTTTGTCCTTCAGACTCCGGATTTCTATGTGCAGATGAAATGGGAATTCACCAGCTGGGGTGAGTGGCTGTGGGCTTATACTTTATTTCTGTTACCAGATTGATGTAGCCTGAATATAGGTTCATTTTTCTATTATAAAAGTTACATGTATTGCTCAGCCAATGTGGCTCAGTAGATTAAGCATCGTCCCATGGACTGAGAGGTCCCAGTTTGATTCCTGGTCAGGGCACATGCCCAGGTTGTAGGCTCGATCCCCAGTGGGGGGCGGGTGTGGGAGGCAGCCAATCAATGTTTCTTTCTCTCATTGATGTTTCTATCTCTCCCTTACTCTCTCTCTAAAACATGAACAAAAACATATTTTTAGAAAGTTACATGTATTTTGTCTTGTTAATCCTCACTTAAGGATATTTTTCCATTTATTTTTAGATAGAGATAGAGTGGAAGGGAGGGAGGAAGAGAGAGAAACATCAGTGTGAGAGAGGCACATCAATTGGTTACCTCCTACCCAACCTCAACCGGGGCCGGGGATTAAACCTGCAACCCAGGTACATGCCCTTGACCAGGAATCGAACCCACAACACTTTGGTCCACAGAGCCAAGCCAGCCAGGGCTATTTTTTTAATCTAGAAAATGCATAGATAAGAATAGGAAAAATACTCATAAACCCACTTAAGCACAACTAGTGTTAATGTTTTGGGTGTTTTCCTTCCAGTCTTTTCCCCACATATAGGACTTTTTCTCCCCAAGCACCCATAACTATAACATACAGACAATTTTGTCATTTCTAGCTGACATTTATCCATATTATTAGTTCTTAAAAGGCTAATATTTTAGTAAGATTTACCATAATTTAGTTATTCATTTCTGTATGTGATTCAGCTTGATTTTTTTCAAACTTGTTATTCTGGGGAAGAAAATGAGATGAATATTGGAGTTGCTTGTTTCTTACAAAATGGATATATTTCTCCAAAGTCTTATGTAAGGCAAATTGACTGACAGTAATTTTCATAGATGTTCTACTTTTATTTCTTGTAGATCAGTTAATGATAGCTTCTCATTCCCAGTTTGCAGCCATTTTCACTCGCAGGCTTTCCTTTCAGGCAAGAAGTCATATTTGTCATGAAACATTGAAATGAAGTATAAAACATATAAAAGAGAACTTCAGATTCTTCTGTGAAATGAATGAGTTTTTTCTAATGCAAATAATCACTCTGATTCGGGTTTTGTTAAAAAGCAGCTCCTTTTAGACATATGATCATTTGAATGGTGGGTATGACAGTGTGGTAGGCCACAGCCATATGGCAAGAGTCGCATATGTGAACAAGAAGGCCAGATGGGCACATTCTAGCTCTAATGCCAGTCAGTGAGAGGGGCTTATTTTGGGATCGAGAATACTCTTGGGATATTTATTTAGAGCTTGCTCTATAGCTGTAGGACAGAAGGTCCATTTTTATTTTAATTTTTAAATTTTTTTCCATTTTTTTTTTTAGAGAGAGGAAGGGAGAGGGAGAGAGAGATAGAAACATCCATGAGAGAGAACATTGCTGCCTCCTGCATGCCCCCCACTGGGGATCGGGCCCACAATATGGGCATGTGCCCTGACCGAGAATTGAACTGGTGACCTCTTGGTGCATGGGTTGATGCTCAACCACTGAGCCACATCGGTCAGGCCAGAAGGTCCCTTTTTAGAGTGACTTCCTGTATCAAAATGTGGGAGCCAAGTTCAGTTCTATGTGACGGCCACCTATTGCTACTCCTGTCCTTTCATTAAAGTCAGAATTCGATGTCCTGAGCCTGGGTGTTCTGCTTGGCTATCAGGTTTTTCTCAGCAGTATGCTTCTCTTCTTCAGTGCCCTTGGTTTCCAGAATATGCCCGAATGATGTCTGTCGCATTTGGAAAAGTGGTGCTAAACTGCGTGTCGATATCACATTGCTGGGATTTGAAAACATGAGCTGGATAAGAGGGAGGCGTAGTTTCATATTTAAGGGGGAAGGTGAGTAATTCCGTTGTAGTAATCACTGCTCGTGCCAAGTTATAGAGTGATTTTTAACCGTAAAATGCATTCAGGTGCCTTATCTGATCCTTTCTGGGCCTTTTTTTTTTTTGTTATTTTAAATTATTCACCTCTCAATTCCTATGTCTTATTTCTTGTCTATGTAGTTCTCTTGTGTGTATTATTTACCACCCAACATTGTTACCCTCTTCACATGTGTCTGTCTCATGTCCCTGACCCTTTGAGTACAAGCCTGTGGCTTATATCTCATTATATTCTTTCTATAATCAGGCATGACCCATGGAGAATGAGAAATGGCATGGCTTACCCAGTGTTGTGCATAAATAATTTATACTATGTAATCATATATTTAAAAAAGTACACAGATAACTGTGTTGCTAACAAAGACTGCAAATTATTTCAAAAGTCTGCATCTTTGGGGAAGATGGCTCAGAGCCTCTATGAGTTGTGGAAAGCTGGCCAGATAATTCCTGTGCATTTAGGTTTTATCAGATGATATGTGGCGGGGGGTGGAGAGGGTATTGGAAAGATGATGCATTTTAACATATGAGGCTTTCTTGTTTTTGCATCTTACTTGCATTGTGCTTAGTTATGCCCTTGCTTTCATTAACAGACAACTGGGCGGAGTTGATGGAAGTCAACCATGATGACAAAGTGGTCACCACTGAACACTTTGATCTTTCCCAGGAAATGGAGCGCCTCACTCTGGACTTGATGAAGCCAACAGGCAGGGAAGTTGAAAGGCGGCTCACGAGCCCAGTCATTAACACCAGCCTCGATACTAAAAATATTGCTTTTGAAAGGTACGAATTTAGGTTCTGCATCTTAATGTCTCATCCCTTTACTGTCATTGTTAGTGGCATGTATGTATTGATTGGAAATTATGAGTGGCCTGGGATTTTTCTAATATGGCAGTTTAAGCACTCGTATTTTAAAATTAATCTCTGCTCTCACCAAATGGAAACCGTAGCTGACATCCTTTATCATATATCATTTTTATAGCACATTAGTTAAGTCTTGGAGAAATGTCTTCATATTCTTTTATGGGCCTTTTCTAATGGATTTTACTCGAGTTTTATTTTTGTTTTGCTGTTTGGAAACCCACAAGACTCCCTAGTCCTAAACCATGGAACTTTGAGTTTCCCGAATCTAGAATCGATCTACTATTGAATGTGGTTATACTGATATCAGTCATATTTGCACCTTTCATATAGTTAAATGTGGTTCTCTCTCCCTAGTTCCCCTATGGTGAGGCCTAATAGTTTAGAGCAAGAGACTGGAGGCATTTCAGTTCTATTCCAGACTTTACCCAAAGAAACCTCAGAGAGGTCTGTGTCTCAGTTAACCCAAATGAGAACATTGTGTCTGGTCATTTGCCTCTGGGCTGTGCAGAGGTGTGTAGGGCCTTTGTAATGGAAGTAGACACTGTCACAGTTGTTAGCCTGTGTTTCTACCATAGAACACACTGAACCGGGGGAGTCTGTAAGAGCCCTGAGTGTTTGCCTAGGATGTCACATCCAGCTCTCTATAAATCAGCAGCATAACATGAGCTAATATGGACAATATTATCCTGGATTTAGGCTTCCTCTTCTCTTCATAAATATACTAACTGTCCTCTCTTTTTCTTTTCTTCATTTCTAATACAAAATTTATCAATAAAACTGAGTTTTCTATTGAGTCAAATATAAAACTAAGTGCCCTTTTCCTTTAGTTTAGATCAAGCTGTGGAATTAAGGTGTTTACAGCAGAAGAGAAAACCAAATCACCAGGTGTGCTGCTGCTTTGGTAGGGGCACCCGCCTGAGACGGGGTCAGTGCCCCGTTGCCAGTCTTCTTTCCCCAGTCTCCCAGATGATAGCCATTGTCTTCCAGGGAGTTTAGGACTGACCGTGGTTATACCAGTGAGGGTCTTGGGAAGACATCTCCAGTCTTTGGCACACACCTCTGCAGACAAGGAGGGCACTTCAGCCTGGGGCTGATTGTAGAGCTGGAAGACAGAGGACCCTGCTCTCGCCGCTGCATCGCAATAGCAGTGACGAGCTGGAAGAACTGAGCGTCCTCAGCTGAGCTACTAACTAACTGTGTGGCTTTGGGCAAGTGGCTTCATCTCTCCAGGTTTCTGTTTCCTCAGCTGAAAAAAAAATGGAGTGAGGAAAGTGTGGTGGTTATTGGCTGTTAGCTGGGAAATGATGGCATGTTCCACTTGTCCTGAGGACTAAGTCGCATTTTGTATTTGTGTGGTCACAGGGTTTTCAAGCAGTTCAAGCTAACCCTCCTTTTTCTACTGACAGTGGGTCACTGAGAGAGAATTTCTAGAAGACAACTGCCTTTTTTTGTGGTACTCAGAATTAATTTATGTGATTAATGACCTTCTTGTGCATCAAGTAAGGATTCCAGGCACTCCTGAGTGAGTTTTGCTACATAGAAAAAGTGTACATACCTACTTCTTACTGGAGGTATGAGCATTCATGTGATTGAATTTGGAAGATGTGGATCTTATATTATGATAGTCTTTTTTATCCATTTCTTTTTGGTAATCTGTTACTTGGGGCTTGACGATTATAAATCAGTGCCCTTCTCGCATAAATTTTTGGCCTAAAATATACCCTCTGGTTGCAGTTTGGGTTTTTCTCTTCTCTGAAAGATAATGCTCTAGTCACCTTAAACAGAGCATTCCCTGCCACCGTCAGAGCTTTTCTCCAAACTATGTAACAGCCTCCAAGCCACAGTGCTTGCTATGTGGCCTTTGGCATGGTGGTCTTGGTGGAGATAGGCAGAAATGAAAATGGCAAAAAAGGGAAGCTGGGAGTTCTCATATCATCTTCATATGCCCCTGCATGTAAAGCTAATCAAGTGCTAAAGCGTTATTAGAATCTTGGCTTTAAACTAGGATGTAGACATTGAGTTTAATAACTAAACTGTCAGAGGACGTCTGGTCAGGATAGCGGAGTAGTGGACGGATTTTGTGAAAGAATTGGTGCCGGACTAGTGGGTGTTGCTCTCTGGGTTGGTACTTGTTCAGATTATCCCAAAGGAGAAGCCTCTACTAGATGGAATTCAGTGTCTCGCCTCATTATTGAAGAAACACCAAAATAAGTTCTTTACTTTTTAAAAAACAAACAAAACTATTAACTGTCAGAGAGAGAATGAAAAAGGAAGTGGAACAGTCAGGCTTGTGGATGATGGAGGTGAGGGAGAAGTGTGGTGGTTCCCAGGGAGACAAGTGCAGCTCTGTGTTCTCAGCTCACATGAAGGAGGAAGTGGAGCGGACCTGGTCATCCTTACCAGAGAAGGGATATTTCCCATGCTGAAATGTCATGACTTAGTGACAGACAGGAACTGAGGACTGGATTTGTTAACTAAAAAGGAGTATCTCGATTTTCCATTGTCAGTGACTGAGTGGGGGCTCTGGTTTATTAAGCAGTGAGGTGTGGTCCCTAGCCCCCTGCACCCCAGGATTATTTTGTTTCTGAAATGTCACTTGGACATAGCTAGCAGTTCGTGTTATCCCTTTAGGATTTCTCTCTTTCCTTCTAAGGGTTATGGTGTACTAATTGTGGACAATTAATAGGAAAATTAAAGCTTTAGTCCCTTCTTTCTCTGATGGGCTGTAATATACACATAAAACTCCTTATACCCCATCTGGCCTAATTTCATTTACCAAATCCCATCCGAAGAAAAGCACACTGTTTGGAAACACAATATGCAAATGGTCGCCTACCTTTTTGAGACTTGGCTAACATGCCACCATTCCTGGAGCTTCCTGTATGATGTCCCACTTCACTCTAGGGTCAGAGCAGAAGGCAGGCAGTTGCCCTACCGAGGGCCAAGTGCAGCAGTCACAGTGGAGCTAGGATGTGATGTCCTAGACAAAGGGGCAGTCTGGCCAGGGCTCCCCTGTGAGTGGGATAGCATTTCCCAGGGTGTGATGCTTTGAAAAAGAATCAGAGCCTCTTGGCTGCTCTTGGTTCCTAAATGCATTTTTTCCAGGAGTGTGTTGAGTGAATAACCGGGTTTTTGGGCACTTTACCAATGCTGCAGCTGCTGGGCTACTTAAAAGCAGTTCCACAGCCCTGGCTGATTTGGCTCAGCGGTTAGAGCGTCGGCCCACCGTCCAGAGAGACCCGGGTTCAGTTCCTGCTAAGGGCACGCAGCTTGGTTGCAGTTTGTCCCCGGCCCCGGTTGGGGTCGTGTGGGTGGCAGCCAGTCGATGTGTCTCTCTCACATCAATGTTTCTCTCTCTCTCTTCCTCCCGATCTCCCTCCTGCTCTATCTGAAGATGAATGCAAAAATGTCCTCGGTTGAGGAGAAAAAATAAAAATAAATAAATAAAAGCAGTTCCACAGAGCTGGGATCAACAGCCGGGCTGCAACACTGCTTTTAACATCCTTTCCCCGTGCTGCACCAAGCCTGATAAAATGAGGGACTGACTCCCAAGCCATTTTGCAGGCATTGATGGTTTCTCCAAGCAGTTTGCCACAGTGATAAGTTCCTGCCCCACCTACTCTCTCCCAAGGAGCAAGGTGGTCTATGCCTCCTTGTTCTAAGAATTCCTCGATTGAGATAAGGCTGCTTAGGGGACAGAGCCACTGACATCTGTGCCCATAGTTAAGATGACCCAGATAAATGCTCTGACCCAGATACCACCTTGTGGCGAGCCCTTGGACGCTAGTCATCTTCACTCACTTCTTTAGGACAGCTGTCTGATAAATGTCACCACCTGTGTGGCCTATGCTGGCAATTTTTGTAAAGAAGCCAAGAACAGAGGCTTTCTATGCCAGGGATGAGGCAAATTGATTAATAACTGGAAGGGGTGGGCGGGGGATGTTTAAGCCATCTGTCATTGATAACATCCTTTTGTGGACAATGGGACCATAATTTTCAGGTGTCCTTCACTAACGTAAGCTGGGGGAAAAAACAATAAAGGCTGCAGGGATAAATCTGAATGGCATATTGTACATGTAGAAATTTGTGGTGTTCACTTTTTATCAGAACTAAATCCGGATTCTGGGGCTGGAGGACAGATAAAGCAGAAGTTGTTAATGGTTACGAAGCAAAGGTAAAAGGAAACTCTTAAAATAAGATTTAATATAGCAATTTAGCTTCTATGCAAATGAGGAGTCTGTACAGATTTTGTCATGCATCTGTGCTATAGAGATGCTCTGGGGACTAAGTACTGTCTAGTGTGTCTCTCACTTGGATTTTTATCTTATTTGACTTTCAGAAAATGGGGTAGCATGTCCCAAGGAGGTCCTAATTATGCCAAAGAGAAACACTGTTGTAGAAAAATGAGTGCAGGTACCAGTTGTCCTGGTAAGAATGATAAAAAAGATAGAAAGGATTAGACTTCATGTGATTGTTCATCTTTTTTTATAACCTGAGTGGACTATAAAAAAAATCATTAAATAGCTTTTATGAGTCTCCTTTTTTTTTTAAGTTAGCCTAGTTGTAACCAATTGGCTTACAGCCCACTATGTGACATCATTGAATTTAGAACATAGTTGTCATAGTGGAAACGACAGCTGGCATTTTGTCTGCTGGACACCCTGTGTCCTGGCCCTTCCTCGGTCCTGCAGTACAGCAGGGATTGATGGCTCCGGGGGATGGAGCCAGGCACTGCGGAATCCTCTGGTGACCTCTGAGCAGCAAAGAACGCTTATGTCATGCTCAGCAAGATACATTTAGTAACAGTTGTTCCAGTGCTGAGTGTGTTTCCTGAACCTTCGAATATATGGCAGATACACTTAATTCTCTGTTAACCTAGATATTTGATTTTCCAGACCCCCACAGTCCCCAGTCAACCTTGATAACAGAGCATCTACTCTGGCAGTTACAATAATTCCTGTCAATATCTGGCATACCTTTTAAATAGTGACTTGCTGGTTGTAAAGCTTATCAGTGTAGAGAACCTTGTATTCATTCCTTTCAGCGGATGGCTGAGTCAGTCCTGTTATAAGATGACCAGAAATCAGTAGTTCTCAGTGCAGGTTTAGATGCCTTAGTGCAATAGAAATCCAGTGGGGAGACCCAAATTGCAGGATATTCTTTGAGAGTGTTTAGCAACAAGAGGGTCCAGGAGGAAGATGCAACTTGTCACTGTTAACTCCTCAGTATTTAAAACTCTCCAAGATGCAAAGTGACTGCTGATGCATTTCTAAGCTGATCGCTTGTGTATTTTCTCTGAAGGATCCTAATAATTGTTAACCATTTCTCATTTTTATTTTGCTGGATTTTTTTTTTTTTTTTTGGCTTCAGCATTCTTGCTCTTGCTATGCTTATTTTTTGAGTTTTGATTCCCTGTGTCACTGTTTTCTCTTGCACACGTCTCTCAAGGTTTACACAGTAAATAATGTGAGTGTGATAACCAAAATACGGACAGAACACCTGACTGAGGAAGAAAAAAAGAGGTACAAAGGTAATCTTCCACCCCTTTTCTAAGCCTAAAGAGAACCTTTCTTTGTTAGCTCTGTTAAGTTTTGGGGTTAATGTGATCGGTTAACATCACATTTCCTTTTCATAAAAATTTCCTTAGTCTGACTCATTTTTGGAGATATTTCTCCTTAGTTGGCTTCAGCTGTAATTAAAGCCATTCACAAGGGCTTGTTTATGTGTTATGAAGAACAATTGCTGGCTGAAAAAGTAGATATGGTTATTGGAGAATATTTATCACGGTAATAAGTTATTTGGTCCAAACTATCACAATGAAAGATTTGGACACACATTGGGCTCTAAGCCAAAACATTGCCAATACATATTTGCCATTTCCCAGCTCTGGCTGTTTCTGTGGCTTTATGAAGTTACTGAACCTCTGTGCCTCATTTCCCTCAGAAATGAAATAGAGGTGCTCCTAGATCTTCTTTGGAGTTCTTGGGAGGATTAGATGCGTTACTACATGTAAATATTTAGAGCAGTGCCTACAGAATGTGGCTAGCACGTGGTAGTTGGTTAGCACTGCACTGCTGTTGTTAACTATAACTACCAAAATACTATTACTGCAATTTGACAGATGAGAAAACTGAGGCCCAGGACCCATGGGCAGTGACCATCCAAAATGAGATTGGAATCCAGATCTGGCTCACTCCCAAATCCAACCTCTTCCACTATTCTGCTTTAATTCGTGTAACTGTTGTTCATCTAGTTTAGAGACCCTAATAAAAAGTGTCCTACAAAGAATAAATTAGCTGATGGTTATTGTGGATGATTTTATGAATCTGTCCATAAATGGATATCCTAATGCAGGTAGCTTGGATTAGAAACTTTAAGAAGAGAATCTTTTTCTATAGTCACACGTAAAGTATAATATTAGACATTAAACTTTTCCCTCCTCTATAGCGGACAGGAACCCACTGGAATCTTTGTTGGGAACTGTGGAACACCAGTTTGGTGCTCAAGGGGTAAGTTGAAGCAGCGAGCTTTCAATGCCGTTTAAAGGAGAGGATTTTCCCGTGCTTGGAATGGCATTTACTGAATCTGGAACAGGCCACTCTATTTGAAAAGGCTAAAGAGTACTCCAGCTAAAGCTGGAATTTGAGACACCCTCTTGGAAGAGAATTAGATGAGTGAGTCTTTAAAAATAAAGATTTTAGGGGAAGGGTGGTAATTATAGAAATCAGGAACTTTCTCTCTTACATGTTATAAACTAGGATCTCTCTGTAAAAATGGAAATTAAAAAGGATTCAGGACTTTACATTTTAACAGAGCACCTTAACAAACATTTCTCACTTGAGCCTATGAAATTGCTACAATGGATGTAGTTGAGGGTCAGAAAAATGAAACTACCTTTCCAGTGTCACAAGCTAGAGAGTGACAGAGCTGGGACTTAAACCCCAAGTCTTCCAGCTCTCACGTGCTTTCATACACCTCTCTCTGTCTCTTTTATAATCAGGAAACAAAAATGCCAAGGAGAGGGGAGAACTATTTTGAAATGGAGAGATTCATTAGACTTGCCATGTAGTTTGGTAACACCTTTGCAGATTTTCTTGTTCTGTGCAGTAACTTAATTTTAAAAAAGGTATGACTAGAACTTCCTGATCTGTAGCTGGTTAACATGTCCACCTCAGAGACTGAGTGCCATAGGCCTCCACTTGTGAGCATCATTTGGCATTTCTGATTCCCCTGAGTTCTGGCTCGGCAGGACCTCACCACAGAATGTGCCACTGCAAACAACCCTACAGCCATCACACCTGACGAGTACTTCAACGAAGAGTTTGATCTGAGAGACAGGGACATCGGAAGGCCAAAAGAGTTGACGATTAGAACACAAAAGTAAGAGAGATTCAATGGCCATTTTCAATGTATGGATTATTTGTTTCAGAATTGTGCTGTTTTATGGTGTCACATTCAGTCATTTTTCTGTCCCCTTCCTTTAAAAATAATTTTTAAAATTTTTTTCCTCACCTGAGGGTATACTTTTTACTGATTTTAGAGAGAGGAAGGGAGAAGGAGAAAGAACATTGAAGGGTTGCCTTCTACATGCCCTAACCGACTGCGGATCAAGCCTGCCACCTTTTGGTGTATGGGGATGATGCTCCATCCTACTGAGCCATACCAGCCAGGGCTAAAGATAATTTTCAGTTACCTTATTTGACAAAAGCTAACAGTAGATTGCCCATCTTATTAGCCCTTCTCCAAATAGAATATAGATTGGATATAAAGAATTCTTTATTTTACTACCAACAAACTCTGATCAAATTAAATTATTTCCACCAGCTAGCAATTTCTTCATGCTTGCTATCAGTTAAAGCTCCTGCAGGCTGTAGTGGAGGTCGTTTCCCTGATTGCTGGATTTCAGAGTGATCTGAATTTCTTGTTGGTCTAGTCCCATCATAGCTTCAAATTAAGATGTAAGGTAACTGGGAAGCCTGTGGAGTAAGGAAGCTGGTGTTGTCTAGCCTACTACATAGAATTCAATTTTCCTGTCTGGTGGCGAGGCCCTCAGTGTTTGCTCGTTCAAATCCTGCAGGTTTAAAGCAACACTGTGGATGTGTGAGGAATTTCCGCTCTCTCTTGTGGAGCAAGTCATTCCCATCATTGACCTGATGGCCAGAACTAGCGCTCATTTTGCAAGACTGAGAGATTTCATCAAATTGGAATTCCCACCTGGATTTCCTGTCAAAATAGGTACTGTTAAATGAACCACAGGAGCACTTGTAGGTTCTACTCTTTTTGCGGGTGACAGAATGTGCTTTAGGGAACTGGAGCACTTTAGTCAAAAGGAGCATGCAGGAGACATAATAGAGGAGGTCAGAGTCCTCTAGTTTAATTTGGCTTAAACAAGTGTCATGATTCTTGGTCATTTTGCATATCAAAATTAGGAGATTCTTGTCATCAGTTATATTTATTGATGGTGCCGACAGATGTAAAAAGGCATTAAAATGTAACACATTCGTTGTTTCAATATCAGACCTTAAGTGAAACTTCAAATTAGGTAGTTAATTGAGGAAGACAATTGATACTACGATCCTTTGATACATAAGTTTGTTTTAGGGCCTGAAGTAGTATGCATGAAGCCTTATACAATACATGTTACCTATGGGGAATTTACATTTTGGATAGTTGTACAATCATAACACTTGAACCCTGGCTCGATCATTTACTCACTGTGATCTAGGAAAAGTTGCTTAACCTCTCTAAATCTCAGTTTTCCTACCTATATATTGAGAAGGGTTGTTATGAGGATTAAATGAAATCATACTTATAAAACTACTTGGCATGGTGCCAGCATAGTAAGCACTTGTAGCTAACTGTTAAATGATGGCTATTATTATTCTCAGTAAAGTTATTAATAAAAGCTTTTATTTTGTTAGAAATTCCCTTGTTTCATGTCTTAAATGCACGGATTACATTTGGAAATGTTAATGGCTGTAGCACTGCTGAAGAAACTGGATCGCAAAATATGGAAGGGACCCAGGCCAATTCAGGTAAAAGGAAGTTGGGTTTTGTGATTTAAAAAAAAAAATTCATACATTTAGTCATTATACTAATTATTCTGTTTGAAATTGTAGTATTTTATAAAGTAGATCTCTGTGCTGGATCAAGAAAATTTTGGATTTAGTTTAGATTAACTGAAAAAAAATTGCAAATGTGTATGACCCTACTTATATTGAAAACACAGCATCTTTTAAAAAAAACTACTTTATTCAGGTATACATAATGTATACAATAAAATGCTCTCCTATTTAAGTGTGACAGATAGTGTGTTTTGACAAATGTATACACTCATGTAAACACTACCACGGTCAAGATAACATTTCTGTCATCCCCCTCAAATTTCATCACAGTGTCCTTTGCCATCAGTCCAATTCATATTTTGGGTGCTATTGTAAATGGATTTCTTTTCTTTCTCTCTCTCTTTCTTTCTCTAATTTTCCTTTCTTTTTGTTGTTGTTGTTAATCCTTACCCGAGGACATTTTTTCCATTGATTTTTAGATAGAGTGGAAGGGAGGGGGAGGAAGAGAGAGCAAAACATTGACGTGAGAGAGACATATCAATTGGTTGCTTCCTACACGACCCCAACCGGGGCTGGGGATTGAACCTGCAACCCAGGTATATGCCCTTGACCAGGAATTGAACCCATGGCCCTTCAGTCCATAGGCTGACATTCTAACCACTGAGCAAAACTGGCCAGGGCTGGATTTGTTTTCTTAATTTTTATTTTCCAGTTACTCATTGCTACTATATAGAAATATAATTGAAATTTTTTGTTTTTAAAAACTGTAGTAAAGCCCTGGCTGGTTTGGCTCAGCGGTTAGAGCGTCGGCCTGCGGTCTGGAGAGACCCGGGTTCGGTTCCCGCTAAGGGCACGTACTTCGGTTGCAGTTTGTCCCCGGCCCTGGTTGGTCGTGCGGGTGGCAGCCACTCGATGTGTCCCTTCACATCGATGTTTCTCTCTCTCTCTCCCTCCCACTCTATCTGTATGAAAAATGGAAAAATATCCTCGGGTGAGGATAAAAAAAAAAAAAAAAAAAAAAACTGTAGTAAAATAGTGTTCTGTGTCTTAGACTAGCTAAAAGATACATAAGCATTTGTTCAATATTATCATTTTTATTTTAAGTTTACAGGTGTGTGTGTGTGTGTACACACATACACTCTATATGTTCACTGTATTTCATAATAAAAGGAAAAAATAAAAAGACACATTGGTGTGACTGTGTATATACACATCACATTCCTGAAAGGACACATGACTAACATACTGGTTACCTCTGGAATTTGGAAACAGGAGAAAAGGTGTAGGGATACAGATCTTCACTTTCCACTTATAGTTTTCCGTATTTTTTTATTATGATTTAATTTTATTACTAAAAAAATAATCAAGCCCTGGCTGGTTTGTCTTTGCAATTAGAGCGTCAGCCTGCAGGCCGAAGAGTCTCAGGTTTGATTCCTGGTCAAGGGCATGTACCTGGGTTGCAGGTTCGATCCCTGGCCCTGGTTGAGGTCGTGTGGGAGGCAGCCAAATGATGGGTCTCTCTCACATCGATGTTTCTCTCTCCCTCCCTCCCTCCCTTCCTTCCTCCTTTCCACGGTATCTGAAAATCAATGGAAAGCCCTGGCTGGTTTGGCTCAGCAGTTGGAGTGTTTGCCTGTGGACCAGAGAGTCCCGGGTTTGGTTCCCATTAGAGGCACGTACCAAAAATAAATAAATAAATAAATAAATAAATAAATAAATAAATAAATAAATAAATAAATAAGTAAATAAGTAAATTGTAGTAGAAAAAATAAATAAATAATCAATGGAAAAATATCCTCGGGTGAGGATTAACAAAAAAAATAATAAAAAAATAAGGCAAAAAGAGAAAAGCAGTATTCTGGTACTTTTGTCTGTCAAGATTATTTTTCAGAATCTCTTTTACATAGTAACAAACTTGAATTTTAATCTTATCATTTAAAATATTTTAAAGTGTGTATACAAAGTTGAAGTGGAAATTTATTTACTAACTCAGGCACTGGATTGCCACTTTTTGTGTTTCAGCTTCCCCAGTCACAAACTTTGAGGTTGATCAATCTGTGTTTGAAATTCCTGAATCCTACCATGTTCAAGACAATGGCAAAAACATGCATCTACAGGACGAAGATTATGAGATAATGCAGTTTGCCATCCAGCAGAGCTTACTGGAGTCTAACAGGAGTCAGGTGCATTTATCAGAATAAATGGCAGGTTTTACCCTCCCATTTGGCTTCAGTTTGTAGCTAACCTGAAAGACTTACTTTATTATTATTTTTAAATCCTCACCTGAGGATATTGTTCCATTGATTTTTCAGATAGAGTGGGAGGGAGAGAGAGAAACATCAATGTGAGAGAGACACATCGATTGTTTGCCTCCCGCATGACCCCAACTAGGGTCAGGGATCGAACCCCAACCAAGGTATGTGCCCTTGACCGGAATTGAACCTGCGACTCTTTGGTCTGTGGGCCAACGCTCTAACCACTGAGAAAAACTGGCCAGGGCTGAAAGACTTACTTTAAATAATAACTTTGACATATTTATGATATTTACAGAGATTGTTTTGTATTTTATATACCTGCTCTTTTCCAAAAGATTATAGTACGAGATATATATGTTTTATATACTCTGCATAGCCCCATCAGCATCATTCACAGGATGTCTCCTATCAGACTTTCCTTTTCCTCATGTTCACCCATGTAGCTAATCATTATGTATCTTTGGGGGTGTGCTATATAATTTTCTAGTGTTGAAACAGTAAATTCATTCTAGTTTACACCATCATATTTTCCCTAAAATATTATCTATGTGTCTGTAGTCTCATAAGAAATCATGTGGATTTTCATTTCAACTTCCTTCCCAGGAAGATCAGTCATTGCGTTTGGTTGCTCAATAAGGGTGTGAAGAAAGTGTTGATTGTTAACATTTTTTTACTCAGATGTTTTATTCTGTTATAAGGGGTATAATTCCAAACTCCTTGAGTCTCTAGCTAAAAGTAGAGCTAAGAACAGGACGGACCAGCATTAAGAACAGCTGCCTTTTGTTTTCTTATGTGGTTCTTCTTCCAGGCCCCACCTGCCTGGAACTGTCCAGGTCATGAAGTCCTCCATCATCAACTCTTTTTGTCCCCTTCCTCCTGTGGCTTCCACAGGCTCCGGTTTTTGACATTCTGCTTTTATTCTTGAGTCTCAGAGCTTGAGTAATGTGAGCCCCACTCTTCCCCTTCCTATGGACTCATTCTTGGAGCCATTCAGTTTTCTTTTTTATAAATATTGCCATGTATATCTTGTTGCCATTTATTTATTAATTTATTTTTTATCTTCACCCCAGGACACCTTTTCCGTTCTTTTGTTCAGATAGAGTGGGAGGGAGAGAAAGGAAGAGAGAGAAAGAGAGAAACATCGACGTGAAAGGGACACATCGAGTGGCTGCCACCCACACGACCAACCAGGGCCGGGGACAAACTGCAACCGAGGTACTTGTCCTTAGTGGGAACTGAACCCAGGTCTCTCTGGACCGCAGGCCGACACTCTAACTGCTGAGCCAAACCGGCCAGGGCCCATTCAGTTTTCTGAGGCTGCTGAGCCAAGGGCCAGACCCCAGAACAGACATATTCCCTAAGAAGCCTCCTGGAAGATCCAGCCACTGGACATCACTGTCAGTACAGTATGCCTTTTCTTTCCCTATATAAGTGAGCTTATTTTTGCTTCCAATACCTACATAAACCTTCTTGACTATAGTTTTGCAAAGGGGAGTGGCCAAAGTCACAGTTGACATATTCAGTTTTGTACTGCTTAACATTGGGCAGTGGGGACACATGGAGAAATGCATCGTTAGGTGATTTTGTCATGCAAACATCATAAAATGCACTTACATAAACCTAGATGGTATAGGCCTGCTACACACCTAGGCTGTATGGTGTATCACCACCATATATATAGATATGGTGCCTCACTGACTGAAACTTTGTTGTGTGGTGCATGACTGTATTGAATTATGCATTCTAACCTTGCTCTAAAAGATTCACCTGCTTTGTTCATATAAACTTAGCCCAAGGTTAGCTGCTCTTATTAGATTGATTTTGGTAAAGCATGTTAAGTATATCATATACTACCTGGCATTTAGGTGTCATTTTATTTTATTTTATTTTTTTAATCCTCACCTGAGGACATTTTTGCATTTATCTTCAGATAGAGTGGGAGGGAGAGAGGGAAGAAGAGAAAGAGAAACATCGATGCGAGAGAGACACATTGACTGGTTGCCACCCACACGACCCCAACCAGGGCCGGGGACAAACTGCAACCGAGGTATATGCCCTTATTGGGAACCGTACCCAGGACTCTCTGGTCCACGGACCGACGCTCTAACTGCTGAGCCAAATCAGCCAGGGCTAGGTGTCATTTTAGAGATAACCTAAGTCCCTGTTAGTTTTTCACACAGTACTATCAATAATGGGCATGTAAATATTTTAAATTTTGTTCTTGTTGCTTTCATTTCCTTACCAGTATGACACCTATTCCTCCTAATAGGTATTCATGTCCATCACGTTTGTTTTTCCTAGGACCTTTCAGGACCAGCTTCGAATGGAGGGATCAGTCAGACACACATCTACGATGTCCAATATGAGAGGTAATTGACATACCTCCTGATGATTAAATGGAGGTTGGCACAGGCACTTTGTACACTTAACACTGTGCCTGGCAGGAGAGACTTGATAAAGTGTTAGCTCTCCTGCCTCCTCTTGTGGCAGTTACTCATTAAAATAGCTCTGATCTCTTGGTGGCTGAGTTTCCAGGAATGGGTGATAGAGTTGCTGACTTGCTCATAGGCCAGTGCCATTGGCAGGCAGGTCCTGAGGATTGGTCTGATTTGCCAAGAATGTGTGATCACACAGTGTCTAGATGCTCTCTGTGGGACGTTTATATAATTTTAAAGATGATGGCATTTTGGGGAAGAGCTACAAAGATGGTTCGATTTTCTTTCTTTTTTTTAAAGGGAGGAAACCAGCAAGATTCATTTTACAAAGCATTTTCCTAAACTTTGGGCATATGAAAACCTGTTGAAGAACTTGGGTTTTGCTTCAAAATAGATCCCAGTTCAATTCCTAGCTGCATCATTTAGTAGCTGGGTGATCTTGGGCAGGTTTCTTAAGCTCTCTGAGCCTCAGGTTTCTTACCTGTATATAGCACCTATGCCCCCAGAATTATGTGGAAGTGAATGGCATCATGCACACAGAGTACATATAAAGTACCTGGCACAGTGTGTACCTGGTAAGCAGTTAAGAAATGTAGTTGCAGCCTGGCCGGTGTGGGTCATTGGATTGAGTATGGTCTCATGGACTGAGAGGTCCCAGTTCAATTCTGTCAGGACACATGCCCTGGTTGCAGGCTCGTCCCCAGTAGGGGGTGTGCAGGAGGCAGCCGATTGATGTTTCTCTTTCACATTGATGTTTCTATCTCTCTCTCCCTCTCTAAAAAATCAATAAAAACATTTTTTTTTTTTTTTAATGTAGTTGCTGCTGCTGCCGCCAAGATGATAATGATAAACTCTGTTTCTTTTTCCAACCTAGGGCCATCCAGGAAAGCCTCCTCACCAGCTCGGAAGGCCTATGCCCTGGTGCCTCAAATGAGACAAGCCGTTTTGATAGCGATTTGCAGCTGGCCATGGAGCTCTCTGCCAAAGAGCTGGAGGAGCAGGAGCTCCGGCTCCGGGAGGAGGAGGAGGAGCTCCAGCAAGTCTTACAGCTGTCTCTCACTGAGAAATAGACCTTTCTGCCCACGGGCTGCACAAAGCAGAGGCTCTGGGCTGCACGCAGGTGCTACATTACCAGGGCCCCAGGGCTGAGGGACTGCATCTCGTGTGTGCACAGCAGATGGCAGCTGGACCCTTCTTTACACAGAGGTGCAGGACCAGGGACTCCCAGGTCCATCCACAATACTCCCCGGTGAAGGGGCTGGGGACCGGCAGGCCACATCTCCAGGCTAAGGGGAAGAGAGCATCGTCACTTTCCATGAACTATATTGGCTTGCAGGTCACATTTTTACTACCAGCTTTAGACAAAAACCCCAATCCCCGCAGGTTTGTAGGTTAATTTCTACCAAGGAGTGATAACAAAAGTTACTGCAGAGTCAGGGTGCTTTTATATATGAGAGCAGCAGCCTTTGTAGAGTGTGGTTTATGAAAATTTATTATACTTCTTTATAGTTCACCAAAGAAATGGATAACTGTGCCGATCTACTCTTTTATTTTTACCTTTATACAGGGTTTCTAGGACACCATCACTGTTCCTCCTCATCTCCACCTTATTCCATTCCTTCCATCCCCAGCTCAAGTTAAAGAGGAGGTGTGTACAGGATCTATTTTAGATTAGGATTAACTATTTGCATCAAATTAAAATATACTAATGACCATGGATTTTGCCTTAGCCTTAAAAATTGCTAATAATTTCAAACCACCTCACTTCACTTATTGAAGGATCTGATTTGAATTTGTAAAGGCAGTTCCTTTGAGAGTAGTATACTCCAGGCTAAATCCAAGGCAGCTAATCCTGGCCCTGAAGGAAAAGCTAGGAGAACCTGAGCTTTGTTCTGGAAGTGGGCAGGCTGGCCGAAATACCAGACAGCATAGAACCAAACCAAGTGTGTGTGCCACACCTTCTGTAGCGCAGGGCCTCACGCAGAGGTCCAGGAAGACCCTTCTCCCCCACTCCGTGTCCTCGGCTCACTGGAGAATAAGGAGTGGACATTAGAAAGGGAGCTACAAACGGAACTCAATGGCTTTGCATTCAAAAGGGAAAGTGATGATTCCATATAGCTTTTTAGAGTTCAAATCAACATCTTTCTGGATAAATATATTTTTTAACGGAATCTTTTTATTATTTTTAAAATATATAAAAACTATTCCCATCAGTAGCAATACAAGGTTATACATTTTAACCAGATTTCTCAGGCCTTTTTTGGATACCTTTAGTAGTTAACTATTTTGTCTAACCCTTCTGTAAATAACCATAGCAGAACATACAGAGCCTGGGGAATACAGCTGAGGGTACCCTCATTCCGGCCGGCTGTGTATTCATTCCCACAGGCTGCACTGAAATAACCTGGTAAATAATATCGTCCTCTGTTTTATATCAGTTTCCTATCTGTTGGGTTTCTTTTGGGATGGGAAGAGAAACATAAAGTACTGTCCAGTTAAAGTCTGTATGCAGTTAGCATTGCCAGTAAAACGTTCCTAGTCACAAAGAAATGTGCTTTTGATTCCATATAACCATCTGTCTTTTTTGTCATGGTCTGACCAAATTCCTTCTCTGCACACCAGGCCAGTATATGCAGCATCACATTTTGTTTACTTAATATTTACCCTGAGTGAAGACACTTCTCCTCGGAACGGCTGCAGTGAGGCCACATTGTAATCTCTTACGTTCGCATTCCATTGTTCTGCTTCCCGATGTCTCTTTCTCCCAGGAAGTCAATTAAAAAAGGACTGAGCTTTTTGTCAACCTGTCTGCAGCATTTGTCACTTGTTTTCACTCTCTTAAAATGCAAATAAAGACTGCTTCCTTAGAGGGTGCTCATACAACATCCTAGACAGCCTTTGAGTCTTTTTCATGTTGTTTTTCTAGTCACGGAAGGAACCCGCAGTTTGTGTCACTGGAACATTAGAATGCTCTCCCAATGCTCAGTTGTATATTACAAGGTGACATGTTCCTCTCAGCTTCCTGCCCAATCATATGTGGTCCACACACCCAGTGCTCCTGTTTCAAATGGAAACTAAAAGCAAGCCAGTGTCAGGGCTGCTGAGACCTCTGCAGTTGTCCTCTTGGAGAGGGACTGGCTCTTGTGGAGTAAGGACAACCAAGTCATCAGCTCTCTACTGTGACTGAATATGCTCTCTCCTTGGAAGTTGAAGGGCTTTTCTTTTGAATCCTCACCTGAGGATATTCTTTTTATTGCTTGAGAGAGAGAAACATTGATCTACCACCTTCCACGCGTGCCCTGACGGGGGACTGAACCCACAACCTGGGTATGTGCCCTGACCAGGAATTGAATCCGCCACCTTTTGATATACAGGATGATGCTCCAACCAAGCCACACCTGTCAGATTAAGGCCGAAGTGCTTTTTGAGGCTGTTTTTAGAAGTTCGGGTGATAATTAGGGCTTTCAGACTTCTCTTACACCAATTATATTGGCATTAAAATAAACAAGGCAGTGAGTAGTAAAAAAATGTTTGGTTCCAGAAATGAGACCTTGGGAAAATGAAGATGCTGCTTTGCTTTTTTGGGAAAGTAAATAACAATACTTTGAATCAGTGGGGTACTATGAAGAAAACCGTTCCTCTTATTGAGATGCAATATCTATGGATTATTTAATTAAAAATGAACATTTCCTGCTCAATGCAGATGACATCAAAGACAGCTAGACCATAGCAACTTCAAATGACTATAGCACAGTAGTGATGGAGTTAAAAGTCCAAACTAGGCCCTGGCCAATTTTGCTCAGTGGTTAGAGCGTCGGCCTGCTGACCAGAGTCATGGGTTTGGTTCCCACTATGGGCACATACCTAGTTGCAGTTTGTCCCTGGCCCCGGTTGGGGTTGTGTGGGTGGCAACCAGTCGATGTGTCTCTCTCACATCGATGTTTCTCTCTCTCTTTTCCTCCCACTCTCCCTCCTGCTCTATCTGAAGATAAATGCAAAAATGTCCTCAGGTGAGGATAAAAACTAAAATAAAAACAAAGCTAAGATTAGTGTTCGCTAAAAACCCATTTTTATGATTGGTGTTAATCATGTGTGTTCATTTGGGTACTCACTAGGTATTCTTAGTACAGTGGTTTATGAGGTTTAGGGCTTGGCTACCACCCTCACCTCTACTCCCTAAAATGGTCAGGAAAATAATTCTACCTGAAAATACTAGTTGGTCAGTCTCTGGTACATAAAGATTTCCAGTATAATTCTCTCTCTGCCAGAATTGATGTTTTTATCTTTACTTGTTTCTCTGTAATAAGCCTATTTCTACAAAGATTATTTTGTCTTACTTTAGCTTGAAATCTCATACTCAACAGATGGTAACAGTGGAATGAGGATTTAGGCTGTGTTTTGGATTTGTATGTGGAATAACTATTGCTGGGGTTTTTCCAGAAAATGAACATGATCCTACTACCTGGCTGGTGATTACTGAACAAATAGCAGGTCACAAGGTTTATAGGGCTGGCAAGTTTTTACTGTTTCCTTTTAAAATCCTAAAAATGGCAATAAATGTTTTGGCAGCATATCAAAATGTAGCATTGCAGGTGGGACTTAATTCTGTCAACACGTCTCAGAATCCCACTCACGCCGCCTTCCAGTTAGCAGCCAGATTTCTGTGGAACAGGTAGTAATCCCTTCATTTGTGTTAGTTTTCAAATCATTTCATCTTCACAATACTTAAGATATAGTGTGTATATCACCATTTCAAAGATAAGAAACTGAGGCTGTGGAGTGGTTCAGCCTGTTTGTAACTGGAGCAGGGACAAGAATCCAGGTCTTCTAACCCCTGGCCTAGCCTGAGAGATTAATCCTGTCTCCATTTTCTGAAATAATGCCTTGCCTTGGAGAAAGAGTATTATTTCATATATGAATTTAAAATTCCACTTTACAGTGCTTGCTTAAGAGATTCAAACACACACCTGCATTTTAAATGCGTGGAACATAATTAAGAGTAAAACAGAATGTAAGATTTTACTTTAATTTTAATTGACATTTGCTGAAAAGCACAGAACAGTTAACATTTGAATGGCTCAATGTCAGGTTACAAACAAAATCATTAAGTCAAAGAGTTACAGGATTCCATATCAGTTATTTCACATTAAGTGCAGGTTGTTTAAAAAAGAAAAAAATCAGTGCTGTGTTTGAGTGGAGCACAAGATAAGCATTTCAATTTAATAACAAAAGTAAACCTAGCACCTTTAAAAATAAATACTGATAACCACTTTATAGGTACAAAAGTATCATTTCCATAGGGAGAAAAATCCAGTTCACCAACAGTGCAAACAAATAGCAGCATTTTCGAAGTTGAAATTAAATTTGTGTAAACACATATCCACCGCTACTCTGCCTGGTACAGTGAGTGAATCCTCCCGACCAGGGCCAAAAAGAAAGTTCCTGCTGAGTCTCTTAGATTCCAAATCTGAAAAGCTGTCAAGGGCTGGAAAGATTTAAGTGCGGTACAAGGGAGATCCATATGTTTGAGCAGGAAGGAGTTCTTTTCCAGGTGAGCCAACTAGAAACATTTCCAGTCCAACCCCAGAGCCTTCCAGCCCAAGGGTACACATGATCATAGGGGCCTACCTGCTGTGATCCTGACTTGGGGGGGGCATCTGCATGCAGAGCCCAATGTTGTCTGTACCGCAGGCCGACGCTCTAACCGCTGAGCCAAACCGGCCAGGGCTAGAGCCCAATGTTGTATGAGGAGTGATGACCTACGTTCCCCACAGCTGACACTGCTTTGCAACCAGAGCACTCTAGGCCAACTCAGTATCATTAAAAACATTTGTGATTCTTAACCTTTTGTCATCAAACGATTCTTAAGTAGGGAATGTCTGTCTGCATGTTAAGTCGTTCTCTTAATGTCTTCAAACATTAATTAACCCTTTCCAATGGGGTTTTTATGTCAGAAGGTTACAGTATTTTCTTTCTCGTGAGCACTCCATCTTTACACTGAACTTTACACTGAGCTTTAGGTCTTACTTTTAACAAGGGTAACCACATATAAAAAGAAATACTAGAAACAGACCCCATGGCCAATTATTTGCATCACAGTGTTAGGAAAAAAATAACTGCTAGATGTTTTTTCTAAATCAGCATTTACCAACTGTCCAGACCAAAGGTCATTTCCAAGCAGGAAAGTTCAGATTCCAACTTCTCCACTGACCCATGTGCAATACAACTTATTCTGTTCCCAAGTATTCATGGAAGAACTTGCTTGCTCGGCTGTCATCGACGCCGAATGGGCTTGTAGACACAAAATGCCATAAGGATCATGGTCACCAGCAGGATGCTGAAAATGGTTCCCATCAGCACTGCAAAAGGAATACAGGTTACCTCCTAATGGCAGCTCCAGGTTCTGTAAGTCATCCATTCATTGACACTGATGTATCAAATGCCACTCAGTACCAGGCACTGTGCCCGGTGTGGGGAGGGGGGACGGTCACAAACAGATCCTCTCTCTGGAAGTCTCCCTGTATTTGGGGGGGAGAATATAAACAAATAAGAGCATCTCACATAGCCTGAAGAGCTGCAGTGAAGAAAACTAATGTGACTGTGATGGAGGGGTAGGCAATAGTAGGTACAGTGGTGGAGGAAGCATCTGAGGTGGGGACACACGAGTGGGGCCTTAATGAAATAAAGGAGCGGTGTGAAAATTTGCAGGGAGAGCACTGCAGGCCCCAGAATCAGCAAATGAAGGTTCTTGAGGCCAGAGCAAGCCAATAAGTCAATGAATGAACAGAAGGCAAGCGTGGCAGACGTGGGAACAGCAAAGGAAGAAAAGCAGGAAATGGAGTCAGAGAGGAAGGCTGCTGCCTGTCCATGTAGAAGGAAACGGGTTTTACTCTAAGTTTAAAGAAAGGGTTATAGGCAAAGAATGACATGAACTGAATAAAAGCAGGGAGCCCAACTGTGTTTTTAAAGCCATTTATAAAAACTGGAGATTCAACAAAGTATCCGAGTCTCTAGATGCGCCTTGACAAAGGCCTTCTGATCAAAGAAGCAATTTACTAACTTCACAAACCTAGAGTCAGGCCCAGGCAGACTCTTAAGACTGTTAGGTTCCTCCTATGGTCACTTACCATTTTTTTTTTTTTAATTTTCTTTATTACTTTTTAGAGAGAGAGGAAGGGAGAGGGAGAGATAGAAACATCAATGAGACATCAATTGGCTGCCTCCTGCACGCCCCCCACTGAGGATTGGGCCCACAACCTGGGCATGTGCCCTGAATGGGAATCAAACTGGTGACCCCTTGGTGCATGGGTCGACGCTCAACCACTGAGCCACACCGGCCAGGCTACTTCCCATTCTTGAGCTTAGTTTCCTACATTTATAAAATGAAAATGATACCCATCTCACAAGTGTTTCTTGAGGATTAAATATGGTAACCTATGAAGAGAGTTTAACACAGTTCGGAACACATAATCACACAATAAATGAAAGTCATTATTATGAGCAAGACAAGCAGCACAGCACAGTGGTCAAGAACTCAGGGTTTAGTGCCAGGCCATGTGGCTCAGTGGACTGAGCATTATTCCATGGACTGAGAGGTCCTGGTTCAATTCCAGGTCAGGGCACATGCTGGGATTGCAGGCTCAGTCCCCAGTAGGGGGCGTGCAGGAAGCGGCGATCGATGTCTCTCTTATATCAGTTTCCATCTCTCTCTCCCTCCCTCACTCCCTAAAAAATCAATAAAAACATATTTTTAAAAAAATTCAGGGTTTGGGGTCATGACTAATCCTTCCACTGTGCATGACTAATCATTCCAGTTCAGGGACCTACTGGTCTCTACTTGCTTGGATGTTGCATCAATGTCAATTTGTTAAATTTCTGCACACTTAATCTTAATTTCTACAGTCATCTCTTTGCAGATAATTTGCAGATCCCACTGATATGCAGATAACCCTTTGAATAGTACTATACTACAGCAGTTCTCAAGCAGGGGATTTTAACCCCAGCAGATACTTGGATGTCTGGAGATATTCTGATTGTCTGGACTGGGAGTTGGGTGTGCTACAGGCTTCCAGTGAGTAAAGGCTGGGGATGCTGCTAAGGATATTGTGCAGGATAGCGTGTCTCCACTCCTCCCGACCCCCATCCCAACAATGAGTAATCTGGTCCAGCATGTCAATAGTACCCAGACTGAGAAACCCTGTTCTAAAGGATAAAGCAGGATAAAGTGTGGGAACCACTTTGCAGAGTGCTAGGTACACAGTAAGTGGACAATTCAGGACAATGAGTTCATGAGTAAAAATAACCCAGAAATGATACTATGTGCTAACTTTGTAGATATCCAGATGTACTAAAGAGGTACAGTGAAAACACCAGGCAGAATTATTTTGAAGTGTGCCAAACTTTAAGCTCCAGGGTCCCTTCTGTGGCCACGTACACCTGTATGTATGTATGTACATATGTGTTGAAGAGATGCTCTCAAGCAAAACCTAGGTCCTAGTACTGGCCGTCACCACTGTCTAGCTGTGTAACCCTAGGCAAATAATCTCTCCGAGTTTCATTTTTCTTATCTGTAAAATACTGCTGAAAAAATCCCTTTCTTATTTATTGTGAGATCAAATTAAATCACATATACGAAGTGCTTAGCACAACACACAGTATACAGGAGATCCTTACCAAATGCCAATTACCCCTATTACTATAACTATTATCCCAGTTAGGAAAGAAGAGGGAGTGGGGAATATACTATTTTGTGCCTTGTTGCCTAGCCTGGGCCCACACAGCTAGAGAGGAGGGGACCCAGATTGAGACCCAGGTCTCCATACTCGCAG